CCCCCCCCCCCCCCAGGTATTCACGACGTTTCCACAAGACTCTGAGGCGCTTGGTGCCCGACTCCGATGTGCGCTTCCTCCTCTCGGAGAGCGGCAGCGGGAAGGGGGCCGCCATGGTCACCGCGGTGGCCTACCGCCTGGCCGAGCAGCACCGGCAGATCGAGGAGACCCTGGCCCACTTCCGCCTCACCAAGGATATGCTGCTGGAGGTGAAGAAGAGAATGCGGGCCGAGATGGACATGGGCCTGAGGAAACAGACGCACGAAAAGGCCGTAGTCAAGATGCTGCCCTCCTTCGTCCGGAGCACTCCAGACGGGACCGGTGAGGGCCTCTTCTGGGGACCAGCATACCCCTCCTGCTTCTCCTACCAGTGACCGAGTGGGGCGGAGGGAGGTTGGCCTCTCCAGTGGTTGTGTTTATTTTGGCAAGAGCTGGAAAACTCACTCAGAACCTCTGTCTTCCATTTTTACCACCGACTTGCCCCGTGTGTGACTCAGGGCAGTTAACTCTCCCTGGATCTGGCCTCCCAGGCAGGCACCATCTCGAAAACCACAGTCCGGCTCACAATTAGAAAGTGTTCTTTAAAGAACAAAACCGGGCCTCTCCCACAGCACCGAGATTGCTGTGGGTTCTCTCGCACACACAGGTTAAGCCGCGGAAGGAAAGGTACCCGGCGCTCCCTTCCTAAGTCCTGACACGGTGTGCTGGGGGCAGGCAGAGGCCTGGGGCTTTGCACACCCAGGCAGGTTGGAGAACAGAATCTAACCCTTGACCCGACCTTGCCGGTCCTGAGTTGGGGCTGAGCCCTGTGGAGACTCTGAGGGGCTTCTCGGGTGCGTCCTGGAAATAATGAGTATTTGTGATAGGAATTAGGTCCTACGTACAAGTTCCTTGTTATGGCATTATAGTATTGCTTTATAAACCACCCTCAAACCTAGAGGCTAAAATACCAACCACCGATTGTTGCTCCTCTGGGCCAGGCTCAGCTGGTCTCTGCTGGACTCATTCATGAGTCTGTAGTCACTGGTGGGTCAGCTCAGAGGCCTCCCTCCCGCGTCCGACCGTTGGCAGTCAGCTGGAGCGCAGCCGTACCTGGCCACGTGTCTCATCCTCCGGCAGGCCACCGGGCTTGTTCGAGTGGTAGCAGCAGGGGCTGTGAAAGAGAGGACCGACTTCAAAGCCTCTTGGAGGCCGAGGCTGGGACTGGCTCAGTTTCGCCTCTGCCACACTCTGTCGGCCAAAGCCAGTCATAAGGCTGGGCCAGAGCCCAGGGGAGCAGAAATAGACTCCCATCTTTTGATGGGAAGGGCTGCAAAGTCACTTTGCAGAGGAAAAGCACAGGGAAGAGAATGACTGTGCACATTTTTGCAAACCCTCTACACACCGATGTAAATTGCTAGTTTTTGTATGAGCTTTCCTCAAATCGCGTCATCGTTGCCAAGCTTTTCAGTAACCCTGGAGAATTCTGTTTGTTTATTGTGACAGGTGGTTCATCCATGGGTCTCTCGTCCTTCTAGCGCGGCTCCAAGGTTGTGGTGGGCAGTGAGTTAGTGCCCCCCCCTCCCTGAGCCTGAGCGATGTGCCAGAGGGAGGATTTACAGTTTCTCCCCCGTATTTAATGTAGCCCTCCCCCCACCCCGAAAGTCTCGAGTCTTTGGGTTACTGGCTGCCAAGAGGCACTTAGCTGTTTTTGATGTTCTTTATGTTCTTGGCCGCAATAGAGCATGGTGACTTCTTGGCCCTTGATCTTGGAGGAACGAATTTCCGTGTCTTACTGGTGAAAATCCGCAGTGGGAAAAAGAGAACGGTGGAAATGCACAACAAGATCTATGCCATTCCCATTGAAATCATGCAGGGCACTGGGGAAGAGGTGAGACGGTTTTGCTTTTCTACCACGGTGGCACCCGCGTGTCACCCGGCCAGTGGCATTGGCGGTCCCCAGAACCTGCCACGTGGCTCGTGCAGCTCTCCAGTTGTATCCTGGTAGCCTGGAAGCATCAGGCACTTTCGGCAATGCTGGGCTTATGCTGTTCAGGGGACTGCGAAGTTCCCGGAGGGGTACTTGCTCTGCATGTGTCGGGAGGGTGTGTGCGTGCGTGCGTGTGTATGTGTGCAAACGTGCACTTGTACGTGTGCACTGAAAGCGTGAAACCAGAGAGCTCGGGTAATCCCTTCTTTTCTTCTAAAGCTGTTTGACCACATCGTCTCCTGCATCTCCGACTTCCTGGACTACATGGGGATCAAAGGCCCCAGAATGCCTCTCGGCTTCACGTTCTCATTCCCCTGCAAGCAGACGAGCTTGGATGCGGTAAGTCTCTTCCCTGTAGGAGCAGGGAGGCGCTGACCACCCTGTAGCCAGTGTGGGCTGGCTCTTGAGGCTTTCTCCAGGCTCACTGTCCCCTCGATGTTGGGAACGGCTCACATGTCACAGCGGGTTGGCCCAGGCTTTACATCACGCCCTCTAGTTCATCTTGAGACTCTACTCATCTTTTATCATGTGGAGCGAGTCCCCCCCCCGTGAAAGCCTCCTGGTCCTCCAGGCAAAAATGTCTCACCCTCCTCAGTGTTCCCTCATCCTTTGAATGTTGCCTCGATGATAGTACTTTTCTCATAATTATTACGGATTGCATCTTTCTTTTCTATGTCGGGTGCTCCTTAAGCAAGGACCCCCGTGCCCTGGCACAGAGTTCTATTGGAGGAAATACTTAATAAATGTTTGTTCAGTAAATGGGATGAAACAGGGTCCAGGGTCAGGGCTTGAGCACCTGCTGAGTACTTACTAAACGCTGGGTACAGAGCAGAAGGTGACAGTTCCCATCCTCAGGGGGCCAACAGTCTAACGGAACCCCAGCCTTCCACCTGCCTCTTAGCACTGGGCTGGGTGGGGAGGGGGTACCTGGTGCAGAGGGAACTGAGTGTGCAGTCACAGAGGCAGGACCCAGCCAGTCATGCTGGAGGAGCCACGGGGGCCTGCTAGAGTCACAGGTGCGGGTATGGCCAGGGAGGAGGCCCTAGAGGGAGCATCAGATCACACAGAGCCTTAGGCCAGGGTTTACGGCCTACGATTGGCGGTTGGCAACACGAGGGAAGCCAGGGAAGGCCACCTGCCTCTGGAAGCCAGTTAATCAAGTCCCTGTGCTGACTTGGGCTTTTTCCTCTTGAACTTGTTTAGATCTCAGCAGTTAGATCCATATAAACTTGTGCTTTGCAGCTTTTAAAGGTCTGATGTGTTTTTAAGGAATTCACTTCCACCGTCACCCGTATTCATCGTAGCGAGCACACACCCAGCAGAAGTATAGCTTCATTCAAACCTGAAGTTTACTTTAGGCAGTAACAGGGTCACTGAAAATTTGCATTTCTCCATTTATGTTGTCGGCAAACTGTTCTTTAAGGGAACTAGTTGGTTATACCAGAGGCTGCACCGTTATCCTTCTATGCCTCAGTTTCTCCATCTGTGAAATGAGGATTATAAACCAGACCGCCGTGGGGATGGTTAGGAGAGGGCGGGCCTGTGGAGGACTGCCTGTCTTTTACTGCTTTGTGCCTCAGATGTCCTAGCATAGTGTCACTATACTCAGGAGATACTTAGTCGGGAGGGAGGGAGTGAAATTTTATATCCTACTCAGACGGGCTAATTACACAGGATTCTCCTGGTGCCTCTCCTGTTTCAGGGAATCTTGATCACCTGGACGAAGGGTTTTAAGGCAACCGACTGCGTGGGGCACGATGTAGCAACCTTACTAAGGGATGCGATCAAAAGGAGAGAGGTAACTATTAAAAGGATGTTTAAAAAAAAAATCTTCACTGTTTTTTGGGGGTTATAAAAATTGTACTTGCTTGTCGTAAAGAATTCAAACAATGCAGAAGCGTGTGACCTGGGTTAGAAATTCCCCACACTGTCAGCAGTAAAGCGGAGGTGAACGGTTTTGTGTTGTTGAAGGGTAGTCCAAGAAAGGTGAAATCACGATCCTCCTACAGCTTGGAAAAGAGAAAAGCAGCTGGGCCCAGCCTGGTGCTGTCAGTCAGCCTTGGCGCCCTCCTGTTGGACACGAGGTTTCACTCCATGACTGTGACAGAATTACACAAGAATAAGACGAGTCTATACCATGTCAGAACTCCGCACACACCCAGAATCGCCCTGCTTCCAGACAGCATCCAATCCAGAGCCAGCCCCACTCTGAACCCTCCCGAAAGCCCCCAACCTGGGCTTGAGTCCTGTCCGCCGTGAATGCTTTCTAGCTCGTTCTGAGATGCTCCACAAGATGTGCCGCCCGTGTTGCAAGCAGTCGATGTACCCAGCTTTGTTTGCCTGTAGGCGTGTCTCTGCTCTTTGGCGGGAGGACATTGGCAAAACAAAATGAAGAATTCTAGAGATGAACTCATTAACGAAGGGATTAGTCAAATAACTAACTTTAAATTTTTTTTTTTTATGTTTATTTTTTGAGAGAGAGAGAGAAAGAGAGCACGAGTAGGGGAGGGGCAGAGAGAGAGGGAGACGCAGAATCCGAAAAGCGGGCTCCAGGCTCTGAGACATCAAGCACAGAGCCGGACGCGGGGCTCGAAGTCACAAACCTCGAGATCATGACCTGAGCTAAAGTCAGACGCTTAACCGACTGAGCCACACAGGCGCCCCCTGGCTTGCTTACTTTAGTTCAAAAGAGCAGACAAATGACCAGGTGGTGGGGAAGGCTGGCGTGAATGGCTTTTTGAAAGAGGGATTGGTCACACCTGGCAGAATATGCTAGACAGCCTATATCCCTTTGGAGAGAAACCTGATGGCCTACTTGGGCCCATTTCACAGCCCCGAATGTAGGCATTCTTCCAGTTTACTTTCTGTGCGTATGTCACCACACACACATTTGGTAATGGGAATCCTGCTGTATATACAACCTGCGTATTTCCTCTGATAGGAAACAGGCATCTTTTCCTGTCACTACCTAGAGACCAACCCCATTCTTTTCCTTGGCCGCACAGGATGCCGGTGTTTGCTAGAACCCGTGTTTTATGTCGCCCCTTTCGATTCTGTATTTAGATGGTTTCTCTTTTGGGCCCGTGTAAGTCATGTAGTATCTTTGGGTACCTGCATGGCTCTAGCTGAAGGACAGATTCTGAGAAATGGATTTGGTGTTTCTGTTTTGCCTTCTGAAAGACTGTCACACTCTACACTCCTAGGACAGAGAGAGCTATTTTGCCACCGTCGCTTGGCTTTTCTCCACACGGCAGTTCCCTCCAGGCTGCCTCGCCAGTACTCAGCATCATCTGTGAAATGGGGAGAATACTTTCTTTAGATCTCAGATTTCAGATACAGCACTAATAGTAGGTGTTTAGTCAGTGGAACATTTAATTAGCTTTTTAAAGGCTGGTAAGGAAACTATTCTGGAGGATGCATCAGGCGGCGCTGTCCCTCCCCTAAAGCTGTGTCCCTTTCTTTCCGAAGGAATTTGACCTGGACGTGGTGGCTGTGGTCAATGACACGGTGGGCACCATGATGACCTGTGCTTATGAAGAGCCTACCTGCGAGGTTGGACTCATCGTAGGTGGGTGTCCCAGAAAGTCTGTCTCTGGGGCAGGGACGGCTGGGTTTTCCTGTTCTGTGGGACCTTGAGCCAGCAGCTCAGTCCCTGCGTGGGACACTATCTGTCACTGTTGTCTCCGTGCCACCTTCAGAGTTTGGACCAATGTCACAGAGCTCTCCAGGGGACTTTCTGCTCCCCAACACTCACCCCAAGGCTATGACCAGACTCAGCTCAGAAACGGAGCTCTCTGGGAACGAGGCTCTGAATGGCTCACATGGCTTGGGTGGACAGGGTGGGAACACCGGGGCTGGCCCGGCCATCAGGGCAATGCCGGGCATGTACAGAGGGCCAGCAGGTGGGTGTTGTGGGGTCGGGGCCCGCCATTGGGAAGGCAGCAGAGCCCTCCTTCTCCCCTGACTGTGGGAAAGGGCCAGAGAGGAGCCTCGGGCACCCTTTTGCCTTTGGCAGCCACTGTCTGTGAGCAATGCCAGCCACTTCAGTGGGCGGCAGAGAGGTTGCTGTTCCCTTATAGTCCAAACACGTCAGGGGCCTGGGCTTGAGAGCACATCGTTCCTGAAGCATGTTGATTTGCGCTGCGAGAGAGAAGACCAGTTGTCCACTTGAGCCTGCTCCTGGCGTCAGGATGCTGGAAGGCCCTGCTTCTTGGCCAACTGATGCGGGCCCCACCCGGACAAGGAGGGGTGGCAGGCAGCCCCGTGGCAGACTGGGTGCCAAGTGTCTGGGAGATTGGGATAAGGCCCCCACAGGCTGCCTTCCTGGTGCCCGAAGACCTTTTCACTTGTGAAGCCATTTTCAGCTCCAGAGGAAATTCAGAAAACCAGGGAGGAGCTGCAGGTGAAAGGTTGTGGGGGCCCGGCTCCGGAGCTCTGTTGCTTCTTCCTTTCTTTCGCAGACCTCTCTTTCCCCACGCAGCCCTGCTCTTCTGCTTACGAATGGGCTTAGGTGTGCCTTGTAAATCCAGAGTGACACAGCACATTCCCACTGTCCGGCCGGGCCTGGCCTTCCTGCCCAGTTCAGGGCCGCCGATTAGCCGTTTCTGGCACCAGAGCGAGCTGGTGGAGGTTCTCCACGGCTCCAGCTGCATTCATTCACACCTGCTTTTTTCTCTCTTCATCCATCGATGTCTTCCGACACCCACTGGCGAGAAGTATGATTTATGTGTTTTGGCTTTCTGCGCACCCCTTGCCATTTCTGGGGCTTCTCTTCTCTCAGTTTCTTCCTACTTTGCGGTGAAGGGGCACAGAGAAAACAAAACCTAAGAATAATCCAGTTACCCAGGGAGAAGCATCTGCGAATTCTACTCGTTTCTTTAAAGGGGAATGAAAACAATCAAAGCCCTTTTGATCTAGCCAGTGGGAATGGCCTTGTGTCCCCCAAGGGTGTCGAAGGTCTGTCTGCATCCCACCTAGGATGGGTTGGTGGCACTCTGGTGGCACTTGTGACGGAAAGTGTGGACCTCAAGCCAGCAGCAGCAGCAGCAGCAGCAGCAGCAGCAGCAGCAGCAGCGTCGCCTGTGGGCGGGGCGTGTTAGAAATGCAGAGTCTCAGCCCCACCTTCTGAATCAGAATCTGCATCTTAACAGGCTCCCCAGGTGATCAGAGGTGCATATGAAAGTGTCTGTGGGAAGTATTCCTTAGTTAGTTGGTTGGTTTTAAAATTTCTAGTGCGGGCGGGGTGGACCTGGGTGGCTCAGCGACTTTGGCTCAGGTCATGATGTCAGGGTTCATGAGTTCGAGACCTGCGTCGTGCTGTATGCTGACAGCTCAGAGCCTGGAACCTGCTTCGGATTCTGTGTTTCCCTCTCTCTGCCCTTCCCCCACTCGCACTCTGCCCCTCTCTCTCTTTGAAAAATAAATAAAAACATTAAAAAATAAAGTAAATAAAATAAAATTTCTAGTCCGTTCACTGAGACAAGGCCAATGACCACAGGCTTGGATGTCATGGCACTTGAAATTGCTGTGAAAATTTTAAGGAATTTTTAAAAAATGCTTAGTTTTGAGTGAGAGAGAGAGCGTGAGCAGGGGTGGGCAGAGAGAGAGAGACACAGAATCTGAAGCAGGTTCCAGGCACTGAGCTGTTAGCACAGAGCCCGATGTGGGGCTCGAACCCACAAACTGCGAGATCATGACCTGAGCTAAAGTCGGACGCTTAACTGACTGAGCCACCCGGGCACCCCTGCTGTGAAAATTTTAGAAGTCTTCCTCTCTGTTTCTACACTTAACTCCTCATGGGCGAGACCCGCAAACCCTTTGTGGTGTCACCCCGGTCTTTGCGGGGCCACAGCCTCAGTAGCCCTGTTGTGGGGAGTTCAGGGATGGAGACCAGAGGCTCAGAGCCTCTGGAAACTGTATGTCCGTCAGATTGTGTGCATGCAGAATGTGTGCGTCTGGAGAAGTGTTCCTTTTCTCAGAAGAACCCTCTGATTTTCAGAGAGGGCCGTGACACTGAAATGGTGTCACCTTTAGAAAGGTGCCACTGACATGCTGAGGACGCTGGCCTTCCCTGAACCAACTGTGGGCTTCATTCTGGTACGCACGGGAGGGTGGACTGGGCAGGCATAGCCCGTGACCATGGTTGATCAGTAAAGATAAGCAGACTTTCATGGATGATAGTAGACAACCTCCAGTGTAATATTTTACATACATGCACGTGTGTACACAGTTGTGTGTGTGGAGAGGAGAGAGAAGGCAGTGTCCCTCCAACTTGAATACTGCCTAAACTTTTGCCGTTGAAGACACAGGGCCCTGTTGGAACACCGTCTTCCATTAAGGTATATATGGCCCTGCCTGGGCAGGTAAACACACGAGGCTCTTGATGTTGACGTCTAATCGGATGCTCTCTGACTCTCCTTTTGTATTTTGAGGTTTCCCTGAAAAACCTGAGGAAAGCGAAGCTGTTGCTTTATTCGTCTCAAAAATGTATCCCGTACCTGGGGAGCCCCAGGCCCCGGAGCCTCCCCGCCTCCCCGGGCACGGTGGCACAGCCATTCATCCCCCTCCTTGTGTGTTGCAGGGACTGGCAGCAACGCCTGCTACATGGAAGAAATGAAGAATGTCGAGATGCTGGAGGGGGACGAGGGGCGAATGTGCATCAACATGGAGTGGGGTGCCTTTGGGGACAACGGGTGTCTCGATGACATCAGAACTCTCTATGACAGACTGGTGGATGAATATTCTCTAAACGCTGGAAAACAAAGGTAATGGTGCTTGGTAGAGGAAGAAGGGACGGTGAGGGCCTGAGGCTGCATTTGGTCTGTTACAGTGGAAGAAGTTTCTAGTAGGAGAGGAGTCTGGGACAGAGGCGTGGAGACTAGTCCCTCAGATTCCCTCCTGACCTTTGCTTTTGGTTCAAGGAGAGCAGAGAACCAGGAGGACGGGCTGCCGCCTTGATACGAGTGGGCCCAAGTTGACGTCCTGGTGTCGTGCCGCCTCTGCCCGAGTACGCCCAGAGGACGAGGTGGCAGCGGCCACACCGCTTCCCTCAGCGATCATGTTCATCCTGGAACATTCTGGCCTTCCCGTTGCTCTGTGTTTCTTCCCCAGCAGACTAATAGAAACCTCTTGGTCAGCAGGGTTTTGTTTTATTTAGTGGAAGTAAAACACACTTGACCTGCAGTTGTCAAAGGTCAAGGTAAATTAGGATGTGGCCAGTGGGGTTGAGGGGCTTCGGCTCTGTTCATCCTCCCCCAGCCTCCTGCACTGCCTCGTGGCTGTTTGGAGCTTGGGTCCCAGAGACTGTCCCTGAGATGGCAGTATCTGTCCTCCCTGCGTAGACACAGATGACTCCTTGTCTCAGGCTCCCAGGACTCAGGCCATCCTCTGCTGTCACCAGGATTGACTTGGTCCGAGCCGTGTCCCCAGGAGCAGACAGAAGGAATGGCGGCTGGTGGGGGGGAGGGGGGGGGCATCACCTCCCAAATAGGAGCTGTTCTCCAGCTACCCTCAAGATTCTTGCTTTTTCCAAATACCACCTGTGTTGTTATTTACTTAATGTTTTTCTTTAAGTCAGCTTATATTTTTAATGTAAGTTTAACCAGAGAAAGAAGGGAACACGAGCGTTATCATAGATGATAATCATAAAGTGAATCTAGGGAAGGTCAGCATCATTCGACTCTAGCTCCCGTTTCCTACCAAAGAGTCTAAACGAAGACCCCCCCTTTGGTGGCTGGGAAGTAGCAGGTGATGAAAGGGGTTAAAGCCTCGTCAGCCTGTACTGAGATGACATTCTGGATGGTGTGAGAAGGACTGGATGGAAATTGATCATAATAGTGCAATCATGATTTTTCTGCGAACCACCTGAAATCTTTTGGAGGACCCAGTGGACTCTTCCCAGTCTGGGGACACTGGGACCGGGCATGTGCCATGGAAGCATTTAAATCCCTTGTCATTTCGGGGCACCTGGGTGGCTCAGTTGGTGAAGCGTCTGACTCTTGATTTCAACTCAGGTCATGATCTCACGGTTCATGAGTTTGAGCCCCACTTTGGGCGCTACATGTCAGCACAGAGCCTGCTTGGGATTGTCTCTCCCTCTCTCTCTGCCCACCCCAAAGTTAATAAATAAACAAATAAATAATAAATAAATAAATAAATAAATAAATAAATA